CCTCATGCTCTCAATTAGCTCGGGAGTTCATGCCACTTCCCATTCCTGGGGTCCATTTATCCCTTAGAGTCATTCATGATTTCTAGTTTCTTTGGGGAAGAGGATTATAGGCTGGTAAACCTTTGCTCTATGTCTAAAAATCATATATGAGTGAGTACATACCATGTTTGTCTTTTTGTGATTGGGTTACCTCACTCAGGATGGTTTCTTCTAGTTCCATCCATTTGCCTGTGAACTTCAAGATTCCATTGCTTTTTTCTGCTGAGTAGTACTCCATTGTATAAATGTACCACATTTTCTCTTTCCATTCTTCAGTTGAGGGGCATCTAGGTTGCTTCCAGGTTCTGGCTATTACAAACAATGCTGCTATGAACATGGTTGAACATATGTCCTTGTTGTATGGGACATCTTGAAGTCCCTGTTTTGTTGTGTTGCTCTTTATCTTGTTTTATTTACAGCTGTACTAATGGAAGGAGGTGTTGTTTTTGAGAGTTTGTTTCTGCATTTCTCCTAATTACTAATGATTTGAGCGTCTTTTCATGTACATATAGGCCTCATGTATGTCTTTGGAGAACTTTCTATTCAAGTCCTTTGCTCATCTTTTAATTTTTAGTGGGATAAGTTGTCATTAATGTTGCTTGTTTTTACAGTTTAAATTTTTAATCCATTTAGAATTAATTCATATGGAGGATGAGATAGGTATCTAGCTCTTTATATTTTTACAAATGATTAGTCATTTATCACAAATCATTTAACAAATTTTACTAATATAAATCCCTCTTGGTATTTTAATCATAAAGTAGAAGGATATACATATGTACATATATGTGTATATATACACACATGAAAATATTATGTTAATGTATCCATTGAACAACAGTTTATAACAGTAGTACAATACAGAAGAATTTTCACATATTTAGAAAACATTTTATTTTGTGTGATATTTTGTTTTTGGTCTGACAGATAAAGCTTGCCTGGAGATCAAAGGGAGGAGCTAGACACTAGCTAACCATAGAGGTCTGGAGGTCCCTACAGACAGGAGACAGGAAGTGATAAGGCAGGCCTTAGACAGGATCTCCCAGAAGGAGACAGGCACTCAGTCTCTTTTCAGTGTGGGAATTTCATAGAGGTAAGAGCTCTAGTAGCTGACTGCTCTGCTTCTCTGATCTTTCAGCTTTCACCCCCTAATATGTGACTCAGGCTTTTTATTATTAAGACTAATTAGGATCATGAATCATTTTATTCTCTGTGTAATAATGGCTTCCCATATTGATTTCAGAAATGAGAATTACTACACTGTATTATATGGTATAGTTACAAAGCAGCTCTAAAGCCATAGTGGCTAAGCACGATTACAGTTTCTTTCTTGCTCAAGTGTAATGCAATCAGTCAGCAGCTCCCTTCTGAACCTAGCTGTTTCCTTGTTGCTAACCCAGCAGGAGAAAGTGAATTGTCAAGGCAAATGAAGAAATGTAAGACAAAATCATTTTTATTTACTTTGGACAAGAAATAATACATCACTCCAACTCATGTTCCCATTTGCCAGAACTATTACATGATACCAGAAAACTATATAGAGACCAGGGTACTTTCTCTTTTCTGTGACCAACAATAAGAAGTACTGGGAACACAGGGGGTTCCTCTATCACATTCACTTTATACATTTTCCTAAAGTATGTAATTCTAACAACTTCATGCAAATTTACAAAAGCTCATCTTATATAAATAAAAAATTTATATTCCCTTTTCCAAGACTTCTGTGACATTAATATTTTAATTTTGTAATGGAAGGATCTTCTTAAATAAAAATAATGCTCATATACTAAAGTTTTCTGTATGTTGGCAACTATTGTAAGAGCTTCATATGTATTTCATCCTCAAGACAGTCTATGATGTAGGTACTTAATATGCAAATTGACAGTAAATTGTCAGTTACTCAAAGTGTAACATAACTAATACAGTCAGCCAGAAAGAAGTCTTCAGTTTATGTTATAGATGGTACATAAGTCAATTTTAAAAGTCACTATATGGTATCTTTTGGTTGCTTCAGTTAGCATCAAATATGAAGATCTTGAATTTTTTCAAAGTATTTGGTTTAATATTCTTCACAAATAAAGAAGATAATTATATAGTAATAGCAATTGTTAGTAATATCCATTGTATTTTACTAGATTTGCACCAGTTTGAATCATTCATTAGGGTAATTTTTCTTTGGATTTTTAAAAATGGGTCTAGTAGAGGAGGATCTATTGTGAAGTTATGAGTCAGAGGTCCCATGCATTACATGTAAGGCTCATTTAATACTCATAAACCCTTTGTATGCTTTCATTAAGCCACAAAAAATCAAAATCTCTGGACTTTAGTACAATTTGTATCTCTAGCATAAGAAGTGAAAAGCATATACCATGATGCCATACTGTATATAATAAGTCATCATGTAAATTTAATTGTTAGTCCTCAATGTTTTTATTATTTTGTATTTAAAACAAAGTTCTGGTCACATATTGTCAGTGAACTCTATTGTTCATTAGCTTAATAGTGGTAACTAGTGTTTGACAGCTTCCTTAAAATATGAGTGCCAAAAAATTGGAGAAAGCAAAGAAAACTATTTCTCCTAAAATTTTCAAATTAGCTCTGTTCCACATACTTCATTGCGTAACCAGGCCAGCTGTAATGCTGCCTTGGGCTTCGCTTCCTCCTGAAGTATAAATGGACATTTCCTATCCTGACCACCCAGTTCCAAATGACCAACTCAGAGGCTGAATATCAATTATAAATTCTCAGCTGATAGCTCAGGCCAATTACTAACTTGCTCTTGCATTTAAAGTTATCCCATATTCCTTATTTACTCTCTGCCACATAGTGATACCTTTATTAACCTGGCATGTTTATCTCCTGCTCAATCTGTGTCTGGCTGTCAACTCCTCTAACTCTGCCCTTCCTCATCCCATCACCCTCATTTTGACTTTCCCACCTAACCAGTGAAAGTAGTATACATTCACTGTGTACAGAAGGATTATTCCACAGCACTGAATTCTGCCACAAGTGGGTGATCATAGTCTTTTCAGGCCTTCTCAGGCCATATAACAAACCCTGGGTGTGGGCATGGTCTTCTTACATGAGATCTTTTTTAAAAACCTGTTCTCTTATGTATCTTATTTCCCAATTTCTTTGCTATCCTGTATTTTCGGTCTGTTGCTCATTCTAACTCTGCTTCCCTCACCAATACTTTATATTATATGCTTTTAACAAAAACTGCTGTTGGGAATCCACCATAGTTATGAAAATGCATCAAACTGGGTGAAACAAAAGCAAGCTCTTCTGTCTTTGAAGTAACTGTCAAGGCAAAACACAATGGCATCAATGAAGGTACATTCTTCATTGGTTCCTTTAATCTAGCAAACTACCTGGGATATGAATTGCTCTACTCATGGTTACCAGTTATCTGGAGTATCAATGGTGGTAAGGAAACAATTTAAAGCTCTCAAGCATGCTGGAACCACAACACAGCAATTTCTTTCTTTACAAATATTTGTCTTGATTGTTCTAAATATTTATATGTTCTGCAATTTGGTATATGTCAGGTCTGAGAATTTTGCCAACTTACAATGTGCATGATTAGATAGAAAGAGACCTGGAGTAGCCTACTACACCTTTTCCAGTAATACCATTCACCTGATACGTTTTGTATAAAAAGGTTCATGGGAGTATACGAAGCTGTCTTAGTTCTGAACAATACACTTTGAAAGAATACTGGTACATGCACATTCACATGTAAGCATGCATATTAAAGAAATTAAAATATATGATACATTTGTGATTTGCTTTATACATTGTAGATTTTTCCAAAATAATAATTAATTGCATAGAAAAATAAAAATAAAATAACTGATCTTTGTACTTCTTTAAAATCTAAGATGTTTGTTTGTAACCTTGAAAATATGTAAATTTGCTTTACTCAATAAAAAGAAAGGATAAAGAAAGAAAAATAAACATTCTAGGACATGTAAGAACATTATTGAATACATCTGTTGATAGATTGATTTCTGTCTGGAGAAGTTTGGTAAATGCATGTGATGAATTACAAAGAAGATTAGAGACATCATTAAGAAAAAGATCATCCAGTTTGTGTGATTATAAATCCAAGTAAATATTTAACTATTTTACAATACTTACCATCTGTTTTTCACTTTTAGGTGATATTGTAAAAGCAGCAGCTGAACTGGATAGAGTCCACATCATCTGTATCTTGGATATCTGCAATTTGGGTGACAATAAAGTGGAAGTCTGTTTGCAGAAAATTTATACTCCAGAATAGGCTCCTTAAAGATTAGCAGACACAATAATTACAGGGTATATATAGAAAACTGCTTTAAACAGAATCTTATTATTTTCTTGGTATTTTCATCAGACTATTACATGACCTCTAAAGTAAAGGGATTTTCAGTTTATCTTGTATTTGGCACTCTCACTTCAGATTGAAAAGAGCCATCAAGGCAATTTTATGTCAGACATTACTTTACTTGCATGTGACTATTATCTTAACTTGTAACAACTTATATTTTACGGTTCCTTTTTAAAAGTGTATTTTTATTCCAAAATCTCAGTACAATGTATCTTGCCCAACACAATTCAACATCTTCCTGACTTTATTCACATATGGTGATAAATCTTGCTTGACAAATTCAAAGACTGAGTTATCATTCTCCTAATGGGATCACCTAAATTTATTATAAGCAAGGTAGTTCCTATCACATCCAGAAAGCCACACACAGATAGCAATAATATATTTGCCTCCAATCTCTACATTTGCTATAAATGAATATGCTAAATTACTTTGTCATAAAAATTTCAACCCTTTACTGCAACTTCCAGTGCCTTGAAGTTTTAAGTATTTTGACCAGTGTATAATGTTAAAGCCCGATGCTACAATATATCTCCATTCCTACTGTGTTCATTTGTAATTTCAGTATATGTGATGTGATTTTAAATAGTGAAATTTTACCTTACAATAATATCTGAAGTACTTCTATTGAAAGTAAAAGGACAGTAACTAAGGGAATTTGCTTCAGTCTGGTTCCCTACTGTGTTTTAAAGGTAAATTGTCATTATACCTTTGTAATGACCTGTGTCTGACACCCATGTGGCTAGATAAGTGGACCAAAACAACTGTCACATGAGATTAGCTATTTCTATATCAAAGATGAGTCTGATTGTAGTCGAGGTACAAACTCACAAGATTTCCATATAGCCCTGTAATTTTGTGATATGATATGCTATACAGTTTTAATGTGGTAGGCAGCCTAAAAACTTAAAGGGATATTATATTTTGTTCATAAAGGTGTTCAGCCTCCTTGATAACTGTATTGAATGGTTAATTATAAACTGAATCCTTGTGTTACTAGTTTCAGAGTGATATTAAATAAAGTTGAAATGCAGTAACTCTTTTGGTCTTCTGTCTCATTGTGAACATGGTTCATTTGTGTCTTCCATATTGAAGTGCTATATATATGATTGTAAGTGAGTCAAGGTGATTTTCCCATGTAAGTTTGAAGACTTGCTTTTCAATTAGAATTTGGGATTTGTGGTTAACTCATTACAATTTTTAAGGGGAAATTTGATTTTAGAACCACATCCTTAAGGGGGAATTGAAATAGCTGTTAGTTGAAAGCCACCAACAAAGATATAAAAACCACATAGGCATGCTTTCTGTTCTTCCATTGAATGGAAAATAACTATTCTTAACCTTTTGGAGTTTTTTATTTAAAATTGTTTTCATTTTACATACCAACTCCAGTTCCTCCTCCCTCCCCTTCTCCCTTCTCCAGCCTCCCCCATCCCACCTCTATCCACTCTACAGAGGGGGTAAGGCCCTCCTTGGGGAGTCAACAAAGTCTGGCATCTCAAGTTGAAGCAAGGCCAAGCCTCTCCTCAGTGTATCAAAGCTGAGCAAAGTATCCCCTCATAGGGAATGGGCTCCAAAAAGCCAGTTCATGCGCCTGGAATAGTTCTTGGTGCCACTGCCAGGGGTGCTCCCCACAGATCAAGCCACATACCTATACCCACATTCAGGGGACCTAGTTCAATCCCATTCAGGTTCCCCAGCTGTCAGTCCAGAGTCTGTGTGCTCCCACTAGCTTGGGTCAGCTGTCTCTGGGTTTCCCAATCTGCCCTTCCTCTATAATCAGATTAGTGACTACCCTAATTGTCATCATAGACCCTACATCCAATAACTTATGTAAGCAGATGCAGTGATCCACAGGCAAGCACTAGGCTGAGATCCTGGAGTTCATTTGGAAAGAGGGAGGAGAAATCATATGAGCAAGTGGTGTCAAGTTTTTGAAGTTTTAAAAATAACTTCTAGAAATTTATATGCCAGCGGCTGGGACTTGTTACTCTTGCAGTGGACCTGGGTCTGGTTCCCAGTACCCACGTGTTGACTCACAACCACCTGTAAACCTGGTTCCAGCATATCTGACACTCTGTAGGTACTAGGCATACATGTGGTACACATAAATATATGTAGATAAACACTCCTACACATAAAGCAGCATAAATGTTTTTTTATTTTAAGAAATTTATATTCTACTAATGTATATATCCGAATTCAGAGTTAAACATCTGTGTCCATACTTTTGCTTGTTACAGAAGGTACATATTTACTGTGACTGGTTCCCAAGGGAGGTAGCAAACTATCATCAGAAGAATATTAATTTCAAATATACTCGAGTGAGGCCATCTTCCAAGAAACAAGTCAGTTGGTAAAAGACAAAATAATATATACTTAAGGACCACGGTCTTTCACTAGAATTTCTAATTTTGAATACTACATGACAGATAGGCATCAAAATACTTGAGTAAGATAGTAAAGAGACAATTTGAAAATATGTTTTCTGACAAATATATATTTAATTTATTTTATTGTTTAATTATGTGGAGCTGGGGAGAGACATGGGCACCTGCACCTGTATTGTCCAAAAGAAATCATCAGGTTCCCTAGACTGGAGTCACAGTCACGGTATAAGTTATCTTTGGTTTTATGGACTGAAATACTTTGGGTATATACCCTAGAGGTATATCTTGGTCATGGTTGTTCTATTTTTATTGCTTTGAGAAGGCTCCATACTGATTTCCATACAGCCTGCACAAATTTTATGTTCTTACCAGTAGCAAATAAGGTTTCCACTTTTTTCATGTTATTGCAATCTGTCTTCTTGATGGTAGCCAGTATGGCTGGGAGAAATGGAATCTCCCAGTAGTTTTAATTTACATTTTCTTGAAGGCTAAGGTCCATCAGCAATTTAAAGTGTTTTTCCCTTTCTGTTTCTTGTTTTGAGAACTATCTATGCATCTCATTAGCAGTTTAATTTGAAATTCATTATCTTGAATATTAATATTTTTAGCTGTATAGTTGGCAAAGACATTATCCAATCATTAGTTTGTCTCTTTTTTAAAAATTAGAAACAAGCTTCTTTTACATGTCAATCTCAGTTCTCTCTCCTTCCCCTCCTCCCGGCCCCGCACCCCCTATCCCAACCCCTTTCTGCTCCTCAGGGAGGGTGAGGCCTTCCATGGGGATCTTTAAAGTCTGTCCTATCATTTGGAGCAGGAAGTAGGCCTTCCCCTATGTGTCTAGGCTGAGAGAGTATACCTCTATGTGGAATGGGCTCCCAAAGTCCATTTGTGTACTAGGGATAAATACTGATCCACTACCAGAGGGCCCATAGATTGTCCAGACATCCAAACTGACTTCCTACTTCAGGGTGTCTGCAATAGTCCTATGCTGGTTTTCCACCTATCAGTCTGGGGTCCATGAGCTCCTCCTTATTCAGGTCAGCTGTTTCTG